CAGGGTTTCACTATGCAGTTCAGGCTGGCCATAAGCTCACTTTGTAGCCCAGGTTGGTCTTGAACTTGCAGTGATCCTCCTGCCTTTCTCTCCTAAGTGCTGGAATTACAGGCATGCACCACCACGCCTGACTATATTCCAGCTTCTAGACGGCAACATTCAGGTTCTTTCTCTGCTGTTTACCACTCCATTATCTTGGTGCATCCCCACATCCAGTTTCTATTTTCTGGGAAAAATTCTGCTAGATTTGAATAGAACAGTTGACCTTGTAAATTTTGTAGTTCAATTATGTCCAGAAGCTTAATATTAAAAAAAAAAAAAAAACACTACACGGCAAGATAGTGATACCACCATGGGACACGGGAACATAAAGCTGAGTGCAGAGGGACCTCAGCCTTGTAGGCTCTGCACACCTTCCTGAAGCCGAGCTTTCTGCTGCACCAGAATGACTTTAGCCCTAGCAAACATTTGATACTATATAGTGTATCTTCCAAGTCATTAAAAAAGGATTTGAGTTAAACATTCGTGGGTCATTTGAAGTTTCCTCAGTTTTTCTGGAACATACTGAAAGTTCTTGTCCACGGGAGACAGTGGCCTGGGCTGTGAGTGGAGGAATCATCTAGTCCCAAGGTGACCTGTGGGAGAGGGAGTGGCACGGTTGTCTGGCTGCTGAGGAGTCCACCCGCCTGGAAAGAACTGGAAAATTACAAAAGGGAAAGAGGCATTGGGAGGAAGCTAGGGAAGAACTTGGAGGGCGGGGCAGCGGCAGCTGGAGGATGCAGGGAGCTCCTGAGGGAGGGAGAGCTGGGGACCTGGAGTGTGAGGGCGGTGAAACGTGCTGCAGGCGCTCTCAGGGGAATACTAGCTTCTGGATTTAGGAGGTTGAATCTTGTCAAAGGGCACCCAAACTAAAAAAAAAAAAATTGGTCTCTCTTCGCCCTAAGTCAGAACTGGCCCTAGGAAGCCTAGGAAGGTAGCAGTAGGTAGCTGGGCGGATAGAAGTGAGGCCAGAGCTGTCCATGGTGACTCGCTTTTGTGTATCCTACGTCCATTTTCTCCTTTCATCATCTTCCCAACTTTGAAGACCATTAGCCATGTGTGATAGACGAAGGAGCCGTATTTGCCTAGGGTTATGACCAGGAAAGCCTTCGGATACCGAGTCGTTTCTTCGGTCCGCCGGTCCTCCCGGGTACTCGTCACGCTCCGAGGCCGGGTCGCTGGACTGGCGCCGCTGGTGAACTTCTGCCGGCACCAACCTCGGCGCTGCTCCTCCGCGCTGGAAGCTCCGCCTCCAGAGGGTCTGACGTACCGCCACTTCCGCGATATCCAATGAGATCTATTCAGGGGCGGGACGGGGCTATGGAAGGCCAATCCACTTGGGAAAGGGCGGGGCTGCGGCGGGTGGGCGCCGAAGGGCCTCACGGTGGTGTTTCCAGCTAGAGAGCCCGGCGCGGGCGACGTACGGGGTCCTGCTGTGCTACCTCCCGCCGCCTGCTACCCGGGCAGCCCCTCGGCTGAATCTTGGTGCTTGGGAGCAGGGCTGGGGACGGGGGCGGGAGCCACGGGACTAGCGCCTGAGGTGGGTGCGGAGCGGGAGACCGGGCGGCCGGGAGGCCGGGCGGGCAGTTGGCGCCTGGGTCCTCTCCATCGATGGACCCCGGGTCGAGGTTGGGAAAGGCTAGCGAGGGCGCAGCGTCCGGCTCCCGGTGAGCCTGGGACCGGGGCGCGCCCGTGAGCCTGGCTGTACCTCCCAAGGCCACCACCCTCACCGCGAGGAATACCCCGCCCCTCTCGCTGACCTCAACCTCCTCACTCATCGCTCCCTTTGTCGTCTGTGCACCTGAGCTCTCGCCCTGCCCACCCACGGCCCCAGTCTTTGCCTCCCATCCCCTGGACCCGCACCAAAGAAGACTCGCTGCTTCAGACCCCATCCTTCCCTCTTTGTCATGTGTACACCTGTTCACTTCAACTCTGTCCATTCACTCCATCACCTGTACTCCAACATCTTCCTTAAATCCAGCCCAGCCGCCAGCTCCATCTCCCTTCAAGGGATCTCCCCCCCACCCCCGAAGTCCTGATTATGCCCAACACCTGCCCCACTGGTCTCAGCTCCAGGCCTTCTCCTATCTATAATCCTTTGTTGTCTCTGAAGCTGACCCTTACTCTTCTTTCTCCCCCAGTGATACCAATCCCAGCCTAGACTCATCCTCACTGTGGCCAGACACACACACACACACACACACACACACACACACACACACACACACCCCAGTTCTGTGCTGGTATTCCTCCAGAGAGGGCCCAATCCACTCCTCCTCAAGCTGGCCATTTCCCTTCTTCCCAGCAAATGCAGGCCCCCTGGCTTCCCACACTCTGCCATTGTCCTGTCCTCATGTGCCCTTTCCTCGGTGTCCCTCCCCCTTAGCCCACCGCTCATCTCCTTCCCCCACAGGTGTCCCATAAGAGCTATGGAGCTGAACAGCAAGAAGAAGCTTCATGCCCTGTCTTTAGCTGAGAAGATCCAGGTTCTAGAACTGCTGGATGAGTCCAAGATGTCCCAGTCAGAGGTGGCCCGGCGCTTCCAGGTCTCACAGCCCCAGATCTCACGTATCTGCAAGAATAAGGAAAAGCTACTGGCAGACTGGTGCAGTGGCACAGCCAACCGGGAGCGCAAGCGCAAGCGGGAATCCAAGTACAGTGGGATCGACGAGGCTCTGCTTTGCTGGTACCACATTGCCCGGGCCAAGGCCTGGGACATCACAGGGCCCATGCTGCTCCACAAAGCCAAGGAACTGGCAGATATCATGGGTCAGGATTTTGTTCCCAGCATAGGCTGGCTGGTCCGCTGGAAACGCCGCAACAATGTAGGCTTTGGGGCTCGCCATGTCCTCACCGCTCCATTTCCTTCTGAGTCACCCACCCCAGTGCTTATGTGCCAGGCCCAGCCACCTCTTTCCCTTAAAGACTTCACTCCAGAAGATGTTTTTGGCTGTGCTGAAGTGCCCTTGCTATATCGGGCAGTGCCTGGCAAAAGAGTGGCATGTGATCAGGTACAGGTGCTACTGTGTGCCAACAGCAGGGGCACAGAGAAGCGGCGGATCTTGGTGGGTGGGCTTCAGGCTGCCCCAAGATGCTTCTTTGGGGTCAGCAGTGAAGCACTGCCTGCCACCTACCATACTGACCCAGGCATCCCTTGGTCAGAGTGGCTGGCACAGTTTGACCGAGACATGGGGCAGCAGGGTCGAAAGGTAGCTTTGTTGCTGGCTGCCCAAGTGGTGGAGGAGTTGGTAGGCCCACCTGGGCTCCACCATGTGAGGCTCTTGCCTCTGGCCACTTCCAGCACCACACTATCCCTGCCCAGCTCTGTGATCTGGGCCTTTAAGGCCCATTACAGATACCGTCTGCTGGGCAAGCTGGCTGCAGTCCAGGCCAATAGGGCTGGCGCCTCATTGGTCGAGACCAGAACGGACATCACGGTACTGGATGCTCTGCACATGGCTGCAGCTGCCTGGGCCAAGGTGCCTCCTCAGCTCATTTTGAGCAGCTTCATTCAAGAAGGACTAGCTCCTGGAAAAACGCCTCCCTCTCCAGACATAGCCTCTGAGATGCCACCAGTCCCTAGTGGGCTGAGCTGGGAGGAGTTTTCCCGATTTGTGGACCTGGAGGGTGAGAAGATAGGACCTGGAGTATGCAAAGAGGAGACAGGCACTGAAGACCAAGAGGGGGTCAGGGAGGACAGCTTTGAGCCTCTGCCCACCAAAGCTGATGCCTTGCGGGCTCTGGGCACCTTGCGGAGGTGGTTTGAGTGCAACGGCTCCTCCCCAGAGCTCTTTGAAAAATTCTATGACTGTGAGGCAGAGGTGGAGCGGCTCTGCTGCCTGTAGGGTTCCTGGACTGCTGCCAGAGACCTCCTGCTGTTTCCCATGGAAATGCCTCTTCAGACAGCAGCTGAGCTATTTCCTGTGGAAATTCTGTGTGTGAAAAGTGTAGAAGGGGAAGAAGTTGGGATACCAAATCTAAGCTCAGAGCAGAAGTCATCCAGGTCCCGAGAAGAATCTTGAAGCAGCGAATCTGGGCCATGTAGTTCCTGGACATTTTGTGAAGATCCTAGGGCCTTGGAAGGGCTGGAACATGGGAAAGTTGAACTTGGGCTTTACAGACTTTCTCGCCAGCCCCCATTTGTTCATTTTATAACATCTCTTCTGCCAAGGATGCAAAGATGACGTCTCTGCCAGGCAGAACCTCCAAAACAATGACAATAGACTGTGATTAAAGACGGTGACAGGGGCTGGGGAGATGGCTCAGTGGTCTAAAGCACCTACTTGGAACAAGCTTGGCAAACACAGGGACCACGGTTCAATCCCCCAGCACCACATGCCAGCCAGCCCCGCCCCCTGGTGAGCTGAGCTGGCCACACACACACAATAAATAAATAAAATAAAAATTAAAAAATAAATAAATAAAGACGGTGACAAAGATTTATGTAATGTGCTGTGGCCTTGTAGTCAAAAAGCCTAAGAGCAGAAAGGGTACTGCATGCCAAGTGACAGCAGGCACATTAAAGCACTGGTGTGTGGGGAAGTGGGGTGTTTGTTGTAAGGGCTCACAGGTAAACAGTTCCAAGGGCAGCAGCAACCTGGCCCTAATGGGAAATGAAGGGTTGGGTGTGGTGTGCCCCTTTCCTGGAATACAGTACCTCGCCTGGCCAACTTTCCAGTGCCAGACCCATGACCAGGGCCTCTCTGACACAGAGATTGTTTGCACTGTCAGTGGCTCTTGTCAGATCCATGTCCAGCTCACGCCTGCATGGCCAGTGTTCTGGGGAAAACCCAGCTAAGGGAGGCCCAAATTCAGTAGCCTGCAATGAGCAGAAACAGGTTCAAAGATTTATCATTTACAGATACTAGACAAGCAGGGCATACTGATTGGGGCTAGCAGTCCACTGTCCTAGGTCACTTGAGGGCAGAGTGAAGAATTAGGGGGTCATTGCACATGTGGAGATTAGAATGCGTGTTATTTGATCTTTCGGTGCTGAGGACTGAACCCATGGCTTCATAAATACTAGGGAAACACTAGCACTGAGGCATACCTCCAGCTCCACCCACCCCTTTTGTATTTATTTATTTATTGATTGATTGATTGATTGATTGTACCTGGAATTGATCTCACTACCTCACACTTGCCAGGCAGGCGCTGTGCTACTGAGCTATATCCTCAGCCCCCAGCCCCATTTGTAAAAGACTACATTGCTCAGACTGGCCTCAAATTTCTGAACCAAAATGATCTTCCTGCCTCAGCCTCCTAAGTAGCTAGGACTAGAAATATGCACTACTATGTTTGGTTCTAGTATGGGTCACTTCAGTTTCAAGGACAATTCCTAAATGGCCCATTTAAAGAAAACAGAGGAAGCTGGATATAGTGGTACACATCTGTAATTCCAGCCCTCTGGGAGGCTGAGGCAGGAGGATCACAAGTTCCAACTCAACCTGGGTGACTTAGTGACCTTTTTTTTTTCTTTTTAGATAGGGTCTCACTATGTAATTCAGGGTGACCTTGAACTCACTATATAGCCCAGACTGACCTTGAACTTGCAGAGATCTTCCTACTTCAACCTCCCATTTATGATGTAGCTCTTTTAAATATTTTAAGACAAAATTACACATAATTCTGCCTCTTATGCTGCTGGCAACAATCCTCAGGTGGGCCTCCCACACCTAGCACCACACTAGTTCATTTCACCTGGGTGTAATAAAGGTCCAAGGCAAGAGAGAGGGGACAAATTAGCTCTCTGTCCTCAGATATCATGTTCTTGTTTTATAGCTGACTTCTTCCAAGAGCTTTTTAATTTTTTTTCCCCCCTACGGAACCAGGGATTGAACTCAGGCCCTTGCACTTGCCAGGGAAGCACTTATTCCACTGAGCCATCTCCCTGGCCCTTAAATTTTTTAATACTTTTTTTTTGGCAGCTCTATGGATTGAAACAAGGACCTCATATATGCTCAATGGGTACTCTATCATAAGCTATTGTTATGGTTTGGGGTTTTGTAAGGGGAACATGCCATACAGGACACATATAAGATTATTTTATAGTAGTTACCTCACCCAAAAAAATCATACACAAAGAGTGCAGGAAATCTGTCCGCATACTAAAGACCAAAGAATTCAGCTGAGGGCCTGGATCCTAATATCCTGCCTGAGTCCAGCTGAAGACTAGAGTCCATAATAATGCCTCCCACAAGTCCAACTGCAGCCCTAGAAGCCATGACAATGTTTCATGCAGGCCTGTTTCATGGATCTACACTGGGAAAGCCCAAAGATCAGTGGTGGAAGCTAGAAAGTTTGTGCCAGCAGGATGAAGAGATCTGAACGAGAGCCAGGAAGCAATGCTGAAGATAAGAACCAGAGCTGCCCTGAAAAGTACCACAACCATGCTCAGCAACAGTGAGGTCCTGCATTCCTCCGGCAACGAGGAAAGCCAAGTGTCCATCAGAAAAGCCGCCACAACAAGCTTCTCCAGGAAACCTGAGTGGTTCCCCCAGAGCCAGGAAGCAATGCTCAATGTGAGGATCAGAGCTCCCCCAAAGTGAACCATAGCCACTCTCAACAATGAAGTCCTGAGCTTCTCCTCTGAGAACAATCAGTTCACCAGGAAAGCCAGCATGCCAAGGCCACCCAGCGGAATAGCCCAAGAGAACCAGCAGCTTCTCCAAACAGCTTCCCTAACACTCTCCCAACAGCCTAATTCTGCCTCTTATGCTGCTGGCAACAATCCCCAGGTGGGCCTCCCACACCCAGCACCATGCTAGTTCAATTCAGCTAGGTATAATAAATTGACCACCAGTTAAGAATCCACCACAGCTGTCTTCCTAATTTTTTTTTTTTAAAGATGGTTCTGCTATGTAGTTCAGGCTGGCCTTAAATTCACCATGTAGCCCAAGTTGGCCTTAAACTCCCATTGAACCTCCTGCCTCAGTCTCCTGAGTCCTGGGATTACAGGTGATTGTCACTACATCCAGCAGGATTTCTCTTTTTTTATGGCAGAATAACATCCCACTGTCGGTATATGTCATAGTTTCCTCATGTAGTCACTCAGGAGTAGACACTTAAAATGTTTCTGTATCTATGATTAATGCAAAGACCAAGTGTGCTACATAGCAAGACCCTGTCTGAAAAAAGAAAGAAAAAAAAAGAAAGAAAGAAAGAAAAGCAGTAGCAGTGAACAGGAGGAGGGCGCACATGTTTCTTCAAGATACTGTTCTCATGTGCCTCGGGTAGGGATTCTGAAGAGTACAGTTCCAGGGTATCATGGTAGTCCCAGTTTAAGTTTTTTGAAGAATGTTTATGTACTATGCATTTGCCCTAAAAGCTGAACACATACATGTGCACCAACAGCATATGATCTGTCTCTTTCTCCATGCCATCATCAACACTTCTATGATTTGTCTTTTGCATCATATCCCTTCTAACAGGACTGATTATGTCATTTAGAAAAGGGGGGGGGGTGAGGAAGAATTTATTCAAGTTCCTTGCAATAAGGGAGAGAGATTGGACTCAACCCAAATATAGCAGGGCAGAGGGGACTCAGAGCCCACAGTACATGGAAAATTTCTGAGGAACCTGGATAGGTGTCTGGGTGAGAGGATTCTTGCTAACCTCGCTACACTCACCTGGAGCCTCTTCTGTGCTGCTGGCTGCAGCAGCACCACATGCAGCTAAGTTTCCTGTCTGGCAAGTCTGCCCTTCCCTTGCCCTCTGGCTGTGAGAGCAGACTTTTGCTGGGCTTTCTTTTGTATCCATGGTGTTTAGCTTCTCTGGCATCCACTGTGGGACACACTAGGCACAAGGAAACTGGGGCTCAGCTCTCTGAGTCTTTGGGCACACAGGCCCTGCCAGTCTCCTTCCCTCTGTCTGCTTTTCAGTCTTCTCCTGTTGGCAAGTATACACAGGAGCCGGGTTTTGTTGGACCTGCTAGATGCCCAAAACACTGTGTTCACGTTCTCCGAAATTGAGAATGAATTCTAAGAATGACAGAGCTTATGAATAGGCAGAATTTATTGAGAGAAAGCAAGCTGTTAACTAAGAGAGACAGAAGGATGCTTGGAAAGTGGGCTGCCCCCTCATGGTTTTGATCTGCATTTCTCTATTTGTTAGTGATGTTGAAGGCCATTCTGTACACACGGTTTTTTGTGATTTGTCTTTTTTTGGAAAAGTGTATATTCAGGGCCTGTGCCATTAATGTCTCTTTTGAGACTGGGTCTCACTCTAACCCAAGCTGGCTTCAAATTCACAGCAATCCTTCCACCTCACTCTCTAGAGTGCTATGATTTCTTAAAAAACAGCCTTTTGTTGTTGCTGCTGTGGCTGTCATCATCCAGTTGTGGGAGGGACTTTTGTATGGGTGTGGGTTGGATTTAACCTGACTCACCAATGTATCCTGATTTAACATGCTTGCCTTTAGAAAATTTTGTAGTTATTCCCTTCAGGCACAAAGGGTTGTTATGAACATGATAAGTTAAATTCTCAGTTATAGGGAACAGGAATATACAGTACTGGCCCTCAGGCAGAAAAGCTGTTTTGTTTTTGGGTTTCCTTTACTGGTTAGAGGAGATTTTCTAGTTTTCCCTTTTGCTGTAAGTGTGGCCCCTTCCATGATCTTGGCTTTATTTATAAGTCTTGGGCCCAGCTCCCCACTGGCTGCATGCAGAAGCCCTGTTCCCCCACTGTTCTCTGTAGTTCTTTATAGTATCCAAGGTCATGGAGGCAGCCCCGCACCCATACCCTGGCCTATAGCCGCTAATGCCTGCTTTGAAGGATCCAGGGAAGTTTTCTTCTTGCTAAGTTAGCAAGGGTTGTGTTGTTTTGTTTATTAAATTTATTGGTTCATTTCCAGCACATGGAATTACAGGCATGTACCTCCATGCCCAGCTTGTGGTTAGGTTTGTACTAGAGCAAAGGGATGTGTATACATTTTTTGTCACTTGTTTCAAAGAAACCTCTCACTGCAGCCAGAAGTGAGATAACTGGACCAACCCTGGAAGGCACTGTTAGGGTTACAGGATGTGCTCGGCTGGCCTGGAGCTGGGATATCCTGGAGATACATATCCCTGCTCACTGTGGGCACGTCCTAGAGGTACATATCCCTTCTGCCTTGA